TTTCGTTTTTAATCAAAACTATAAATGCCTGACAGTTTGTACTATATTTTGACACTGTCTGGAATAACATTCCTTTCACTTGTCTTCTGTCTTCCCATTTGCGACTTGGAAGGGTTCTAACGTCCAAGTGCTCAAATTATACGCGGCATATCAAGAATATAAGCTCTAGATATAACACCTTTACGAAGTAAATCTGATCAGGTGTCTTACAAACAGAGAAAAATTGATCTGATTAGATAATACCATAATAAAGGAGTTGGGGTTTGTTAACAATATACTAACTGAGATAGGCTACTCAACAAGTATTTTAACGAAGTACACGTATACAGGGGAAAAATAAGTTGAAGATATTGGTCACTTGTAAGATACCCCTATTCCTAAAACTATAATGCGGCAGGGATGTCGCTAGCAATATCTTGCATGATATAGCAAAATTTAATAATAAAACATTCAAGCGAACAATTGTTTTCAATTAGCTCGTCATCAGGCAATTCGGGTCAATAATCATTGTGATTGATTGGTTATTAATTATAGTATCAGGTTACGTAAAATGGGTCGAATAAATCAAATATTCCTTTATCATATATAATGGTAGTTTTCCTATAGAAAGTTAAATTTACCATTATTCAAAAATGCAAACATCTTTATATACTCAGAGAGGGGTTTTGTGGATATTATAGTAAATTCAATGGTTGAATTCATGAGTCACTTGAAGCTAGACCACCATGGAAAACCTGAAAGCACTGGACAGCCGTTTCGTCCCATTGTGGGACTCCTCAGCAGTGCACATCCACGACCCCGTCTAGCGAGATTCGAACCCAGGACCTATCAGTCTCGCGTGAGAGCGCTTAACCACTAGACCACTGATCTGACCGGCATCCAACGATGTTAATGTTTAATTGCAACTAATCCACGAATTCGAGCGACACATCCACCATTGTCTTCAGTGAGTTACTATCTCACAACCGACCCGCTTAAACTCCACTGTTCACTGCTTTTCACTAGAACTCCAGAAAATACCCCATGGAGACCGTCATTAGTGAGCATATGATGATTATAATCAGAGAGGGGTTTTGTGGATATTATAATCATTTTATTAGTTAAATTCATAAGTCAATTGAAGCTAGACCACTGCTGAGAAGTCGCACACTAGAACGAAGCGTCCGTCTAGTGCTTTCAGGTTTTCCATGGTAGTCTAGCTTCAATTGACTCATAAATTCAACTATTAAAATCTTTCAATACACTTGTATTCACCACAATCAACATAAAATATCACGTCTAGTTCAATTTTGATTCGGATTTCTCATTCTTTGAACAGTTGCATTATTAATTTTGTTTGTATTTCATAATAATATGGCATATGAGAGATTTATTGAATACAATGACAGAAAAACTAATTTGATTCCACTTATTATTGAGTTATGCTTTGAAGAAAGCTGACAGTGAAAAATTTGATTTCCTACTAATGAATAATTTAACTTTAAATTTCAAGTGTTATGGACAATTAGTCTACTTGCTTTACCCATCTTTATTTCTGTAAGCTTACATTCTTGATGTAATGGCCGAATAAAAATATCTTCTGTTTTTAACAGATAAAACTATGAAACGATAATATGACCGGTGAATGAGTTTGATCTACCACTAGACTAGATACTTGATCAATATGATATCAAGCAGATTGAATCACGTTATACCACATGCACGATTCACTACAAAAATAGAAAAAAATAGAAACTAGACAGTATATTATTCAACATATTGACAAGGATTCTACACTCACTGAATCAAGCGTAGAAATCAATAACGATAACTGATATATCCGAGAACCTTTAATTAGAGAATTCATTTGAAATTAATCGAGTTGTGAAAGTTGAATGATAAGGTTGTAAAGTGTACATGGATTCCACAACGAAGTGTTGGTTGAAGACTATTGAATTTGTCAGATGTACACCAAATAAAGTAGTCTCTAGAATAACATCACTCCATATATATGAAGAGAGATAAAGAGTGAGGAGTAATTCTGAAGAATGCCTCCAATGTTACACCTGATGACAATTTTTGCAAAGTTGTTTTCAGTTGAACCGACGTAGTTCTAAAATATGATCCGCTTCTGTCTGCGACTACCCATCATGTAAAAAAACCAACTCTTGCTTGACATTTGTAAAATAATTCTTTCAACTTATACTATGCATTAATTGGCAGTTGTGCAGTTTGACGATGATGTTTTAACCATAAATGAAAGAGAAACCGTTATGAAATTTTATTCCTGTATCAATACTATGCAAAATAGTCACTTCAAATCAAATTCACTGAGAACTTGATCCAAGAGTTCTACTCTAACAGTTTTGTCTTGATTCTACGCTAATTTTATTGAAGTTCAGGATGTTGTTAACGTATGTGATGAAGTTGAACATGACTCGAAAATATTCTGTGTTTTGTCAACTGTTAATTATGAGCCTCTTTTACTAACTGATATTTGATGTTTATTGAAATTATTCAACCTGTAATAGAATGTTACGGAGACAAGTAAGTTCAATAGCTTAGCTTCTCTCACAGCTTACATCACAGACTGATCTTGGTTAGACAAACATTGAAATTTAAGAAGCATTGAACATTAGTTTCGGCCTTGTATATTAGACTTCTCAGTATGCATTACGAACCCAGAATCTAAAAATTTATCAGCGAGTGCTTGACCCTTACACTTCTAGGACAGTATCTAGTGGTTTCCGCATTTAACTCTAGTCAATTGGCGAAATTTCACAAGCACTATCGCCGTTTCATTAGTGATATTTCTTGTACACCACGAGATATGAAGGTCCTCAACGTGAACCCTGATTGAGTCGTGAATGAACTGTCGAAAATGTCCATAACAGAGTAAAATACATGTCCAGTGCTATCCAGATTTCAATGTTTAACTGACTAAAATCACTTCATAGTGTAAACTATGATTTACATCATTTACTTTATCAAGACAAACATTAAAAAACAAAGAGTATTAGATAATTGTTTTGTTTCATTATAAGACTTTTCAAAAGTAGTTATTGTCATTCAAAGTATTTTATGTAGACTAAAAGTAGTCTTATTTAGTGTTTAAAGAGTGAAGTGTATATTCTGATAGCTCTAAATGATCACCATTTTCGAAAAAACAAAAATACATAGTACAAAGTATACTTCCATCTAAAATCACTTCTGATTGATTGTTATCTCTTAAATTTTAAAGTGGAAATCTTTTAAATTAGCGTTTATCATAAGCATAACGAATAATGAAGTTTAGTTGTTAACAAATTTATATGGAATAATATTGGTAATTCATTAACCAGTTCAGTTTATTGTGAGTAGATAACTGTATTTTATTTATTTTTTTTATTATCAGCTTTATTTAATATTATATTTTTTGGTACAATATAGAATTCTCAGCATAAAGTATTTCAGTGTGGTTCCGTTTCTTATTTCTTGATCGGTCCTGATGATAATTATTGAGTGATCACTAATAGGATATCAACATTTCAGAAGTCCATATCTGAATAGTGTTCATTCCTTTCAGTGTACATTGCTAGCTATCACGATGTCTCTGATTGTATGTTTTTGTAACTTGTACAGTGAAAGGTCGTAAACTTTTCACAAACACAGCTCAATAGGTTGTTCAATTAATTGATATAATGATTTATTAAAACAAATAAGGGAATAGATAACTTGTTGAAATATCTAGATGGCAGCAACAAGTAGTCCAAATATTCAAACAGGCCACCTTCTCCTTCCAGATGCATGTTTATAATAGTAGATATTGTCACATTACGTTGAAATATTTATGAATTTCATTATATTCTTGTTATATCCCGATGAGAATAGTGAATGGTAACTTTTGGGACCCATTTATGGACCAATACTATATATATATATATATCGTAGACTTGTTATGTAACTAACCTATTCATATTCACATTCCTCTTATTATAGGCTTTATTCTGACCTATGAACTGTTATTATACGATTTAGGATTCTTGAATTATGCCCTGTCTATCAATTACTACCTCCCAAATTCACAGCCATATTCGGATAAATCTTATACAAATGTTGTTTCCTATTTTATGGTACAATGTGGTCTGTCTGGTTGGTATATAAACCCAGTATGTTGTAAATAAATAATTCATATCACAGAGGCTAAGAATGGTGTTCTGGATTTAATAGGCTAAGCTAGGTGGGAAGCAGAACCGATAAAAAGACTTTAGAATGCTCGTACGGGTTTTTAGGCGTCATTGGTTCGATCAATAATTCACTTTTTTCTAATTGGCGGTATCATTACGTTATACAATAACAGGGTATGTATGCCACAAGTTATAAAATACTAAAGATATACTTCATATAAAATACTTAAAATATGCACGTATATTACGTTTGAGATTAGATGGTGGTTGGAGGTAGTCAACAAGAAACACTGGACCCGGGTTTCGTGCTACTTGGCACTCGTCAGCAAGGTGTACCTGTAACCTTGAGAGAACTGGTGCTCCCTGGAGGAATCGACCTCGTGTCACTCAACTTTACAGTCAGAGACATTACCACTGAGCTATCCGAGCCGCGACTGACCTCCTCTAAGACTGAGATGTAATCACAATTGATTGATCACTCGACTACCTCCAACCACCATCCAATCTCAATGTATAGTACCCACAGTGTCGAGTCACCTAGACTAGTGGTCACATTGCAACATGGTCGATAGCATTCGATCTGCACTAAGAAGGACTTGACACACATGACATAGATCACCACTTAGTGATCAATCAGTTGTGAAGTATATTACATTTTTATGTATTATCTGATGACTTCATACAAACATTTAGAAGTGAATGATCAATAGTACTATTGATATCTTTCATGATTGTTAATAAATACTTTCTCTATAGAGAAACAATAGTATTACCTATAAATGAATGTTTAATGTTTACTATTCTAATTATGATTATTAAATTGTAGATAATTGTAGATAGATCATTACAAATAGAATGTTATTTAAACAAAATAATAAACATGTCAACAAATGGAAAATCTCATCTACTGTAGATTTGAAAAAAGTAAACATAACTGTTTAATGGATTTCAATAAAATACATAGTTCTTTATCATTATTTGTTTACCTATAATTGAAATGATTATTACTACAATACTCATGTGTAAATTGTAAGTTTTAATCTTGTAACTAATTGAATAATGAATTATATTTTAGTTGTGATAAATGTAAGGACATTGATCAATATAAATGGTATCTATTAGGTTTAATGTAAGTTATAGAAATTAAATTTAATATTATCTAAAATCTTTTTTGTTGTTAGTATTTGGTTGAGATCATGAATCGATTGATATTAGATCATTATTGAAAACTTGAAAGTATTAGGCGGCCGTTTTTATTCCCGCTCATGGGATATGAACTCAGGGCTTTCAGTCTCGTTTGCAAACGCTTAACCTCTAGACCATTAAGCTGATCGGTATCCAATCATGTTAATGTTTAACATCAACTAATCCACAAAATTTTTTTAGTATTTCAAATGTAATGTATGGAACTCATAGCAATAAATAGGTGTCATTAATCAGTTTAATGCACTATCAATATATTATGGTGATTAAGTCACATAAACAGTTGTGCTCTCACAAGAGGTTTTGTAGGACTGCATAGTATAATGACTGTTGAAATTTCTATTTGGAGCTATTCTCGTTCATCGACCTAAAAGATCTGTGCATTATGCAAATCTTTAAGTGGTTGAACAAGAACTAGAATGGTTTTAGAAAATGGGTGTTACTGAATCTGTGAACTTCTCAGATTCGGCTGCACTGATAGTGGTGGTCGGGAAATTCAATGGCAACGTTCGCTTACGTGCAGATTACTTTAATTGACTAAATGGAACTCTAGAGTTTAACTAGTATCTTTTACCTCTACCTGGAGATCTTTTTGCCAGGCTGAACAGCGGCAAGTATTTTGCAAAATTAGGTTTATCAGGCGCCTATTTACAAACCCTTGTAGCTGATGAAAGTAAAGATCTCCTCACGATCAACACACACAAGGGTTTGTTCCGATATGACTGGCTGCCCTTTGGAGTGAAGATGGCACCCTCTATATTTCAGAAAACTATGGAGACCATGTTAAATGGTATTCTAGGAGCGGTGACTTATTTGGACGATACCACACACATGGGAGCAGACAAAATGGACTTGCAAAAGCAACTTGACCAGGTGCTAGCACGCATAGCTGAATATGGTTTTCGCCTTCGTGCAGAAAAGTGTGACTTTTATATACAACAGGTATGGTGCCACGGTTTCATAATAGATAAAGATGGAATACGACCAGATCTAGAGAACGTTAAAGCTGTAAAAACTATACCTAGACATCCCTACCCTACGATCTTTCTTGGGATTGGCCAGTGATTGCGGAATTTTCCGTTCTGATCTCTATCGACTGCGTGCTCCACTAAACCACCCACCTGAAAAGAATGCAAAATGGGATTGGTCGGCAAATTTTCAAACAGATTTCGAGAAAATCAAGCATCTCCTAGCCTCTTATTTTTTACTTAGGCACTTTGATCAATCACTGCTTATGGTGGTTGCTTCAGATGCTTCAGATTATGGTATCGTGGCAGTCACCTCTCATATTTTTCCCGATGAATCTGAAAAGGCGATCTTTAATGCAGCCAGATCATTAATAACGATAAGACGAAACTATAGTCAAATTGAGAAAGAAGCCCTATTGATTATCTTTGCCGTAAAAATGTTCCACATGATGATATTTGGTCGGGAATTCACTCTATAAACAGACTATAAAACATTGTTGGACATATTTTGGTCGAAGAAAGGGATTTCAGGGTATACAGCAAACAGACTACAATGATGGGCAACAACACTTCTGAGCTATGATTTAAAGATTAAATACAGCTTTTAGGCAAGCTGATGCCTTATTGAGACTAATACTTTTTCAGATAAAAGCGTCAGAAGACATCCTCGTAGCAAATACAAAAGCTGGAAAAGAAGTTCATCGTGTATTGGATGACTCAATCGATAGACTACCAGTCACCTTCGAGGCTATCAAGGAAACCACTGAAACTGACAAGACATTAAGAGAAGTTAGGAGTTATCTTTCTGCTAAATGACCAAACCATCGCTGTAAGAGAGAAATTTTGTAGTACTTTCGTCGACGTGATTCACTGATGGCTATCGACTTATGTATTATGTTCGGTGATCGAGTTGTTATTCCAGAATTATTGCTCCACAAGGATCTCAAGCAGTTCCACAGTGGTTACCCTGGGGTCAGCAAGATGAAGTCGCTGGATCGAAGTCAGGTAATCATAGAATTCTTAACGACTTACAAGACTACTCCTAACCTTACTGTTCTAGGTGAGAAGTCTCCTGACCAAGTCATTTTTGGAACAGGTATTCGAAAGATTTTCAACCTTATGTTACCACCTAAAGTAGTGGATGGGCACAAACAAGATCCGAATATCCGAATTTTCATTGTGGACGATAAAGTGTTCGTCAATTCATACTTCGGAAAGAATCTATTGGAACCAGTGACAGCTGTACACAGATTGGGAAGAGTTTTGTATGGGATCCGAGGAGCCTTCGAGACGTGTATCTAACACACCAACCAAATTTACAAAGACAGAAGATCGACGCACAAAGAAGATAGCCAGGTGAATCTACCATTAGAGTTAAACACATAAACATCAACGACACATATGTCCAAGAATACCGAAAATAATAGAAAAATGAAGACTTGAACAAGAAAGACAACAAAAAGAATGAAACGCCATCACAAACCAGTCGGTGTTGAATTGTAGTTTCTCAGAAACATCTAGAAAGTGAAGAGCGTTATTTCTGACCAAATGACTGCTCGTCATGCTACTATCTTTAGTAAGGTTCAAGAACCTTAAAGAGGCTCAAGGCCGTCTGAAATGCTATAAGTACCCTGAATTTTCTGTATATGAAGTAACCTTGGAGTAAAGAGTTCTTACCATATTTCGCGTCTTTTCTCTCGTGTTTAAGTTATCGTGTAGATTTAATCTGGAGTTATTAGAAAAACTTAGGAAACTGATTCTTGAGTTCAGTAGGAAGATTTATCAATATGTAACCACTTCATATCACTTACTATTTAATATTCATAGTATGATAATGATATTGTTCATCCACTTGTAATAATTCGAAATATGGATGTTACTATAAATATATCTTATTGATAAAATGAAAGACTAGAATCCATTTACATTTTTACGTAACATTAACTAGGTTTATATTAGTAATGTATTTGTAATAACTGTAAAATTACTAAAATCTCCATAAAAGCCCCTGCTGACAATAACCATATGCTCACTAGTGACGGTCTCCATGTGGTATTTTCTGGAGTTCTAGTAAGAAGCAGTGAACAGTGGAGTTTAAGAGGGTCGGTTGTGAGATAGTAACTCACTGAAGTCAATGGTGGGTGTGTCACCCAATTTCGTGGGTTAGTTGAACTACGACACTAACACATATGGATACCGGTCCAGTAGTGTAGAGGTTAAACGTTCGCTCGTGAGACTGATAGGTGGTCCTATGTTCGAACCTTAAGAGTGGTGTCGTGGGTGTGCACTGCCAAGAAGGCTCACATTAGGACGAAATGGTCGTCTAGGGATTCCAGGTTTTCCATGGTGGTCTAGCTTGAATTGGCTGATGCATTGAACTATCAAGTATCCAAATGAGTTGAAAAATTAAATTTTCAAGTGTTTAATTACTCAGTGTAGGCCACTTCTTAAGCGAATTAATAAATAAGCATACTAAATTACATAGTACGAAGGAACAAAATAAAAATACTTAGTATGACCAGTTAAAACTCTGGTCAATGTGATTTTAGACGAAACATGTTTATGTGTATTTTTGTGCATGTTAATTAGTGTAAAAAATATGACCTTTGTAATATGAAAAGACAGAGTTGATTTTGTACATAAGATAATAATGTAAGATGCCAATAGAATTAAGTAGATGGGTAAATGAACTAAATCGGATAGATACTGAGGCTTTTTTCCAATGAGGATAATAGGATTTATCAACATGTGGAAAGCTATAGCTACTCACCTTTCATTGTAGTTGGAAAAGATTTTCTGTAATATGACGTTGATCTGATCACATTAACTAGTTTCGATACAAAAAAACGAATCACAATCCCCACGAATTACATTACTATCAATTTCATTCACTTGACTACAGAATCTACATTATGGAAAAACACTCATCACCAGAGTTGTTCATATGATTGCGCACACTGTTCATTGAGTACAATTATGTGGTTATTGATGCTGGCTGCTTAAGTTACTCATTCTGTAAAATTATTGAAAACACCAAATAATTCAATTAGATATTTCATTCGTTGTACCAGTGACTTAGAAAATACCAAATAAAATTATAACTTTTTAAAATATGTTTTCATTTGATGTTGAAATCAGACCAAGTTCCGTAATTTTCTCACTTCTAATGGTCACTATTCGTGATATGCGTGCACGTTTCCCAATTAATTATGTCTTCTTGTTTTTAAATGTAAGTTTTAATGTATTTAAATTGTACATTGTGTTCATTGAAATATCCCATATTCTATTTATTGTCAAATGATAAATGATATTCGAATGAACTAATTGGTTTGAACGTTTATATAAAATAATCTGTCTTTAAAGACTCTTAATTGACATGTGTTACCAAATAGTGATTAAATTCAAGCAGAGGTGAATGGTGGTTATCAGTGAAATCTGGAGTGTGTGTTTCATCCATCTTGGGACTTGTTGGCTAGATGTACCTGCATTCACTAATTGATATTCATTTCGAGACTCGAACCTCGTACCTTTCGCTTCAAACGTTATATATTTAGGCAATCCGCACAGGATCCACATATACGAAAAGAGACTGACCAATTGCAGCGGTAAACATTAGTGGGAAAATCTAAACAATCAATATATATAAATTAAAATGAATAACTAAATTATTTTGAAAAATAAAGTAACAGTTGTAAATACAACCAACAAATTCATTTGGTTTATGGACGTTGCTTTCACTTAGATTCTTATACTTTGTACAAATTATAACTTTCATTAAAGTGTTCAACTAATAATTTAGTATGAACGAAGAATATTCTTTTCAATAATTTCTCAACAGGTTCTACAATTGTAAATCCAGATTAATAATCCATAAAATTGGCCAGATTTAAGGCAAAATACATCATCATTTGGAAATTGTAATATGTAAATCAGGAATTGTTTGTTATATAAAATAAAATCGTTCATGTTGGGACGACTAACATGAAGTGTTAACTTGAATCAGTTTATAAGTGAAATGAAATTGTGAGATAAATTATCAGAATAAATATGGTCAACATGGGGTAAGAGAGAGAGAGAATATTGTGATTACAAATCGGAAATTACGTAATATGTAAAATAATTACGTCAAATATAGTAAATTCAGGGGTGGATATTGAATAAATTCCTCAAAAAGGGGTTATCAAGTGTAAAGACAATAACAGTAATAATAATAAGTTTGGGACATAAAATGAACATTAATCAGATTACGTCACCACATTATGAGATTGATTATTAGCTAGTTGGCCAGGGTAAAAGGAGTGGCTGAACATACTTCTTTTGGATACAAAGCTCTTGTTTCAGAGGCGACTTAAGTTAAGTAGATCTATTCAAAAGACTTTTAATGCAGCTAAACGGATAAAAAAACAAATCTCAATCAAATGTTTCGCAATGAAGAATGATGTCTGTGATGTTATAGCTTTTACTACATAAAAAATTTATGCATTACCAAAAGCTACAAATGATAGTGGTAGATTTCATTTAGCCAACTCTCAAAGTCCTGATATGATTGTTATCGTAGAAATCGTAGCTATTTTTAAAAAAGTGATTTCAGTAATCAATTTATCAATAAAATCCAGTGTTTCCAGGTTTTCCATGGTGGTCTAGCTTCAATGGACTCACGAATTCAACTATTAAATTACTACAATGTCCACAAAAACCCTTTTCTGATTAAAATCTATTCCATACTTAGTAAAACCAATCCGTAATGAACTATGTAAGTTTTCAATAAAACCTATGCTACAAGTACTGACATACTATAAGTTTTCTTTTGAATTGTATTATTCATGAATTTCTATTTTCTCATTTGTGAAATTGTTTTTTTTTTCTTTTGCTGGAATAATAGACTCTGTTATTATGTTACGCATTTGTACCACCAATACTAGGGATAAAAATGGAATATATAATGGTATCCTTTAGTGCCGCAGCAGTTATTACATTTTCAATGATAATACTCGGGATATTCATCAAAGTTAAAATTTCTCCTGTTTTGTTGATTACTGTTTCAAGCAGTTTCATCATTGCAGGGCTTACAATATCTGTGGCATTGTATTTTACCCACAAAGAAGTACGTTTCATAAAATATAATTTTAACTGAATGATAATGATAAACGTGAATTTGTAATGTCGCATAGTGTTTGATGTTTGCATCCACACCTGTCAATGACCCAAATATCTAGTATTATGGAAATAAATAATTGAAATTGTTATCCACATTGATATAGTAGTTACTGAATAATTCTAACTGATTTTTCTCTGTTTTTATTTGTTTATCTATATTATCACACTTTAACTGGCGAAATTCAGCTAACGCAGTACCACCAATCCTGAATGATTTGTTTTCTTAGAATATATCTTCAAATGTTCAATGAAGTTTAAGAAATACTCTAAATTGGTTCACATAAGAAGTCCATTATTCGATAGATTACATACGCTGACAAACAGTGTTAATCAGCTAACACATGTTTAGTTTGAAATTGTATCATAGATCCCGTTTAATTTCTCCCTGAAAATTGTCAATCTGTCTGTACAAAGGATATAAAATGGCTGAACCAATGCTGACTAGCGTATAAGTATTGAATTATTTTGTCATCTTTTATTTGTAATTCGAATCACGATAAGAATGTTGCGTTACATCATATCTACATATTCGTTGAAAAAAGATCTGACTGTTCGAGGTGTTTCTGCATAATGGATTGCATCAGTGAATGTAAATGATGGTTTATTTAGTTGTTTTTTTTACAGTAGCGTATCAGATATAATCTTAGTCCGTGCTTCCAACAAGGTTGACTCCAAGGTTAGTGTATTTTAACTAGCAGTTTGATAAACAGACATTTTCTAGAATCCCCACTGAATAGATTTCGATTGAAGATTATGCTTCATGAGAATATTTCTCAGGTTTTAAATTTTTAATATTTATGTAACAGTGAATACTGAGGGAGTAATTTTGCATATCTAGTTAAAAACAGGATATCATTGATACATTTCGTCGTTTTTCACTGAGATTATTTTTTTTTCTATTTAGATAGCACTTCATGTAATGGGAACATTTTTTATCTTGTCAGTTTTACCGGTAAGTTAAACACAAGAAAAAACTGAAAGTGCGATTATAGTAGAACAACTGATAATTACTGTAATAGTTGGGATCATAAATCAACTAAAGCTAGACCACCATGGAGAACCTGGAAGCACTGGACGGCCGTTTCGTCCTGGTGTGGGACTCCTCATCAGTGCTCACCCACGATCCCACCTCGCTAGATTCGCACCTAGGACCTGCCAGTCTCGCGCGCGAACACTTGTCTGCTAGACCACTGAGCCTGCATCCGATGGTGTTAATGTTTAACTTCAACTAATCCATGAATTTGAGCGACACATCCATCAATGTTATCAGTGAGTTACTATCTCTCAACTGACCCGGTTGAACTCCACCGGTCACTGCTTCCATGGTCACTGCTTCGACTGACTCATGATCTCAACCATTGAAAAAAATTATTATTTAATAAAGAGTGAGTAAAATGAAAAATTCGTCGTTTATTAAAGAAGAATCAGACGATTGAAATAGCTAAATGATAATTTCATTAACCAAAAACAATGAAATAGAAACTACCTATTGTTTACATGCGCATGTGAACTTTATAAACTATAACCTCAACTAGTAGAATTGTATTTTATTTCTCTCGTAGTTTACTGTGACATCAAGAGCATGTTTTTCTCTATTTAAAATTTTTATTAGGTCTTGTTATTTATTGGCCAGCAGCTGAAAATTGAATACTCTCCATGGATGCTTCCCTCCTATTATATATTATATGCTGTACTGGTGTCAGTAATATATTTGTTCATATTCTATTCAATCGCTGTGCAATTTTTAAATCACAGAAACAAATCAACACGTTATAGCTGTTAATGTGTACAGTGTACCATCTATTTCAATTAAATGGTAATCCGTGATGTCATATCTACTCTCTGTAAGCTATTCCTCATACAAACATAGCTATAAATCGAAATGTATCGTTTCATTTAAATTATTTTAATTTCAAATGGCAATAGTTATTCAACAGTTATAAATATATCCTGCCGCTTGTTTTTCTAGTATTTCTCACAGATCATGGAATTGAGGCTTTAATGTCCTCATCTGGATATAGTTATCAATGTATAGAGTAGAATGCTTTGTAAGTTTGTGGGACAGTGCCAGTCGGAATCATTCTTTACTTTGGAATATATCTTGTCTTATAGTAAGCTGCAGTCCCTTCGTGTTTTCTGAATACAGTGCTGATTCGGCTAGCAAGTATTAAAAGAAACCACCAGGTATCTTAGCTAACTTTGTTTGTAGAATTAACCATCAATCCCTTTATACAGGTCCAAATTTAAAAAGTGATCTGTCAAAGTTAACTAGTTCAATTTTGAGCAAATCAGCCATCACAACTAGCGAATTGAGTGTCTTATTATTTAAATTAAAATCATAAGAGTTGTATGCTTGTTAAGTAATTTGTCGGCTAGCCAGAAAAGTGATTATAGTCCGACTTTCAGTAAGAAGTTCAAGTAAGTCATCACCTTCACATTGATTTAGTAACTTAATAACCCAAACCTGATTCTTCATTAACATTACCACACGACAGTTAAGTTCTTTTAATTATGATTTAAAACACCCTTTTTCTTGTTGCCTGGGCATTTTATCTTTGTTGCCAATCTGTTTAGTATATTCGAGCAAGGGTTGATGACAGGAGAGTTGTCATTGTTGTTAATGTTATTATAATCAAAGGCAAGATTTACATGGTTACTCTCATCTAAAGTGAAGGTGAAGTTGTAATCAGTTGTTCTGACTGTTCTTACTCATTTACTTTATCTGAGACTAACTTCATTCGTTTTGATCCATGTATTTTACCCACCTTAGATGAAATAAAAGTTGTTAAAATGACTGAAAGATGGTTAAATCACACAGAATCTTAATCTAAGAAAACTTATCAATAAAACGTTAATGCTATTAATGACAAAATACAATAAAAAAACTCCACTGTTGAGGCATATAAAACATCAATGTGCAGTCAAATCAGAGTAGGTTTCTGTTATAGTTATACGAGTATTGAATATTGAGAAAACAACAAACTAGGACGAAATGGCTGTCTAATTATTCCAGGTTTTCACGGGCGGTATAGCACTGCAAGATTAATAAGTTGAGTGAAATAACACGAGTTACTCAATATTTGCAAGTAATATAGTTAATAAACTAATCAAAATCAGCAGTTAAGGTGTGAAAGCGAAGAGTTCGAAATTAAAGTAAAATGAAATCAATTATTTTAATCTATGAGTAGTGCTAACTCAACCATAATCAATTTACACAAACTTTGATCACATGATGTTGATAACGTGGCAGCCATTTCAAACAATTTCAGTGACAATAACATATGTATAATCACTTCTTCATTTTATTCAGGACCACTTCATCGACGGACAGTTTCAAATTATTTAGATATTACAAGAGAATCTGTTGAATCAACATAATTCCTAATTTTACTTACAGATATGGATAGTGCAGAGTTATAAAACCCCGAATTTAAACTAATCGTTTCCGAAGACTGATGTAACTAAATAGAAGAAAAAAAATACTTGTAAAATCCCATAAATTGAATTTAAAGTAAATCCAACGTTTCGTTCGAATATAAGTAGGTAAATGTCTTGTAACCCAGTATCTGACTCCAGTCCAGTCGTACAAAGGTGCTATGAACATAAATCTTCCACTTAATTCCGTACATTACCTAGGCTAACCCCGCTTATGTTTCGGCGGTAGTGAGAAACGGGAAGTAAAGTGTAGCGGAGAAGACGAGTGAACCAACTCGATTTGATCAAGCATAACTCAATATTTATAACCATTAAAAATAGACGAAAGACATGTGCTAGGTAGGATAAGCAATAAATACACACTCATACAAAAACAATCGAGGTTAATAAGTGATAAGGTCATGATATAACCCAAGAATAATGACTAAACTTTTCTGTCTGGAAGCTAGAATAACGCATAACATAACATTAGACACTACAAGGCCCCCCTGTATAAAAAAGCACATTAATTTGGAGAGAAATGCCTGTTTTCGAAAACAACACCAAAGAGGTATGCGGTGAGTGTATGCTGCGAAAGTGTCATATTTATGTAAAGAGAAATATCGTATAGGTGTGGACAAAGGTGAAAATGTGTACATACAATTCTGAGCAAAATATTAGGTATAAAAGAATAATTAACGTGAATATCGTGACTGTCTTTTTGATAAAATAAAACAAGTTTTCTACGCATAAAGTAGAGAGTTGCTTATACCTTGGCTGCACCTCTTATGTAGTTTGAGCTGGTGTCCATGGTCATAAGTTCGAGATCAAGCTCTGAGAAGAAATTCGGTAGCGGATTTCCAGGGAGGCTGTAAATTTCAGTTTCCTTTACAGTTTATGAAACCATTGAACAATGTTTTTATCAAATGCATTTGAACCTATCTTTTGTATCTCGTAATTGAAAATAAACAAACTTTGTTAAAATTAAAAATAGTGCCCTCACTATGGCTGTGTATTTCTGAACCCCCGGCAAGATCTGCAAAATCTACTTAATAAGTTATTTTATGATAAATTTAAATGACAAGCAAACAAATACAAAAGCCGATGTTACATTTGAATAAAACAACTGAAAAGCGATGGCATGTAACTTTAATTACATCACCACACTCAGTATTCAAGATTCATAGCAAGAACCTCATCAACACCAATCTATTATTCAAACCGAAAATCTTACGAATAACATCTCCGCTAATATTATCTACATGAATAAAGCATCTGAGTTTTAAAGCAACACATGAAGTAAATCTAAAACGATAAATCCAGTTCTTAATTTTCGTTATTTATCAAGGTAGCTAATATTCAGCAACTCGACACAAGTCATCCTAACATCAAGTACACAACTTTGTCTTTAATTGTTTTGTCAAATGCCAGTGATTAAGTGCCTAATTAGGCATATCTTGCTTTGTATTTTCGTCATTGCTTCTGTTTGTACCCAAATGGTTTCCAAGTTGTATTGAAAGAAAGAGTTTTATAACCTAACGATTAACATAAACTAAAACTTAATTCAAATTTACTTTACTATGAAATGAAAAAAGGATTAGAATGGTTACGAAAGTATCCAAGCGATAAACTTGTAATTTCATCTGGAATAATTTAGGATATCTTAAAAAATAGACTGATGCCAGGACCAAAAATAGGAAAATCTACGATACATAATAACAATTTTCGGAGAACAAAACAGATAAATATTTTGATTGAGATAATGAACCGATTGATGTTAGACCACCATTGAAAACCTGGAAGCACTGGATGGCCGTTTCGTTTTCATCCACACAGCTGATATTTCGATAAAATTTACAAACCGAAAATGTGTGGTGTTGCATGAACTAATGATTGTTTTTGTATTTATTGTATGCCTGATTTCGAATTCTAAACACAATACGTTAGTTTGTGCTTGCCTAGTTCTGCTTGGTCTAAATTGCGTTATTTTGGGGATTTCTAGTTTGTATAATAATTCAAATACTTCTTATCATTGCAAAATTCCTCACAGTAAACCTGAAAAACTAATAAATCGTCGAAACAAATACAAAAAAATGAATCGCAATCCACACAAATTACATTCCTATCAATTTCATTCACTTAACTACAGAATCTACATTAAGGAAAATTACTCATCATCAGAGTCGTTCATATGACTGCGCACACTGTTCATTGAGTACAATTATGTGGTTCACAAGTGTGAAACCCGTGGATTTACATGTACAGAGAATACTGTTTGCCATTTCGCAATTGGCAATTGCGTTTACACAGAACCAATCTAATTCACAAAACAGCTGTCACTCTTCATATATTACTGTATCGAAAACTCTCCGGCTAGTCAATCTTCACAATCAGTAAAGGGTTTTTTCCAAGCTCTCTTATGGTGAGCACTTAAAACACCTGAACCCTTTCTCCTTATTGTATCGTACGATGAGAGGTGACTTCATATTGCCATTCCGTATATTTAATAACGATTTTGGTGTCAATATGTTTAGTCTTTTTGCTCCCTCTAGAACTAATAATCTCGGTGACCTTAGCATGAAGGTTAAAAAACCGCAACCTCATAAACTTGGAGTGAGCTTCCGTTTTTCCCATCTAGTGATCAATGACTGGAATGCGTTAACCGAACAGTAGTATCAGTTCCATCAGTAAACACTTTCAAGGAGAAGCTGGACCTTCACTAGTAAACAAGCTTCATGAATTAATACAGGCCAATCAATCTACTATCCTTATAATTAAAGACAGAGGATTGAAATGGTTAGTCAGTAAGATTCATATTATTTCAGTGATAATGCCCAAGTCATGCGATCTGCACTTAATCAGTTGGCAATCAATGTCCGTAGGTAATTCTACAAGACTGGCAGGATTCTAATCCTGTACTCACCCTGAATGGTGAGCAGATAGAAATAGTCGAGAAGTTCGTGTATCTAGGTAGCTGCATAAGTGCTGATGGTGGCGTGAGTGATGAGATCAATGCACATATAGTGAAAGACAGATTGGCTTATGTCAATCTGGGCCATCTTTGGCGCCTTCGTGATGTCAGTCTGGCTGTAAAGGGTCGGATCTACAACGCATTGGTGAGAGCAGTTCTGCTCTATGCTTGTGAAACCTGGCCTATCCGAGTTGAGGATGTTAGTAGACTCTCTGTGTTTAATCACCGCTGTCTCCGAAGGGTTGCTGACATCCAGTGGCAACACCGTGTCAGTAATGCAGAGGTTCGGCATCGTGTGTTCGGGCACAGAGACGATAATCCAATTAGTGTCAACATCTTGAAACACCGACTTTAGTGGCTTGAACATGTTCTCCGAATGTGGTTCCAGAGAATTCCAC